TAAAAAAAGTGTTTTATGCGCATAAAAAATGCTCTTAAAAACTAAAAATATGCTCTAAAAATATACAAAATATGCACTTATAATTTCCCATTTTCCAAATGAAAACACCGTTTTTACTATTTTTGAGACCTTATAAAAGCGGGAAGAACCATTCATTTATAAATCCGTTATGTTATCTGAATGTCCAATCTGTCGACTTAAAAAAAGGATTAACCTCCGTCATATATCCATGTTTCTTCGAGATATGTTAAACTAAAGGTTGGAACAACCATAAACTTACAAAAACTCAATGTTGCCTTTATTCTATTACAAACTTATTTGTCTCAATTTTTTAAACTTTTATTTTACTCCCGTATTTAGTATCTCGGACGGAAATTTTATTTTCAATATTAATATGAAAAGCACTCAAAAATATTTAAAAACTGAGTCCGTCTGAAATACTGAATACGGGGGTTAAAGCCGACAGATTGAACTTTCGAATCACATAACGGATTTTATAAATGAAGGTGTCTTCCCTCTTTTATATGGTTTTAAATATGGCCAAAAACAGGATTTTTCAGTTTTTAGGACGCGATGTGACAAAGAAATTGGATTCAGATTAAGCGATGCTCAATAATTCAGAAAAATAAACTTTGGTCTCTGGGTTTCTCTTTCAAATTTTGTCGACCTGTGTAATTTTCTAGGAAAGGATTAAGATGCTTAATTATTTTGCTTTACATTCCATTGATTTAATTTCTAAAATAAAATTTTATATTTGAAAGACAAACAAGTAAAAAAATATATAGTTGGGCATGACCGACCATATGATAACCTACACCAGTGAGTAATTTAATATTTAAACAATTTGTTGACAAAAAAAGTGATTTTCTGAAAGAGGGTTATACGGGGGCAAGTGTAGATATGGGTCTATCCATATAAATGTTGGTAGAGGGAATTACGTTTATATTAAACTTATTTATGCAGAATTTTATCGTGATACTAGTGAATTATTGACTTTCAAGACCTTTTCTGATGGGCACTTTGTATGGGGGCAAGGATGAAACGAGGCCCATCATTACGACAATTGTCAGTAACATTTAGACTTATACGCAACTAAGTTGTGCCGATTTTTTTAGAGATACTGAAACATTTAACATAATTTTGAGCTCGAGAGGCCAACTCGAGGGGTACAGTTGTAGACCGATTTCAACCATTTTAAACAAGCTTCATTCTTGGCAATAACTAAAGGTAGGATTTTATAATGCAGATAATTCATTTCTAGTCATTTGAATTGTACTTTAGTTAAAGGACATCGGTGAAGCACACGGAGACCTTTCCGCCAGCTTACCTTCCCGTATACATATAATAACGAGATACAAATTATCGGGGTTATAAAATCCTATCTTTAGTTATTGCCAAGTTATAATAATGAACCTTAAACTTTTAATTTCTAATAAAATATAATAAAAAATTTAAAAACATTTTCTATTCATTAATTTCCCAGAAAAAATGTTTTAATCTGTTTTTATTTAAAAACAAAATTATAAAAAATTTGAAAAAGTTAGACGTAAAGAACGAAATATGCAATAAAAAATGCGATTATGAGTAAAATATGCGGAAATATGCTGTAAAATTTAAAATATGCAAAAATATGCTGTAAAGAACAAAATATGCTCTTACGAATCGATGACAAAATTCGTTAAATTGTCTGAAATGGATAAATAGCCAACTCGCGTGTCCATACGACGCGCAGATATTGCATATTTTTGGTTGCCCTCTGATGATAATAGACGCTTGTATAAACATCCTTGCTGCAGCTCTTCAATTTTGTTGGGATATGAGTGCACAGAAAGCCTCGCAAGGAATTGAGTCGTGTGTGCGGGGCCTCCGGCTTAGGAAGATAATTCATTTTGCAATCTTCCTTAAATACATAAACAACAATAGCGAAATTCCAATATTTTTGGTAAATATGATAACTGTGTCGTGGTTCTTGTATGTGCGCCTTAACTTTGTATGAGACTATTTGTGCATTTGCGTCCCGGGTGTTTTGAAGAGCTTCGGAGGAGTATTTGTACGTGCATCTACATCAGCATTTGTCAGGATAGACGGTTTTTACGTTCTATTAACATATAAAAACAAAATAATTTAAAACACAAAATAAAAAATAAAATATCAAAATTAAATAAACTTTGACAGTTAGAAAAAAACAACATAATCAGCTGTCTTATTGACTTCACCTGTAAATTAATACATGTTGGCACAAATTATGAATCGTATTTAAAATAATAATTTTGACATACATTCAGAATTACATATGGATAAAAAAAGTGACAGTACATACATATGTAAAATACATGTCGTCTAATACCACCTTTAAGAATTGAAACAACAAATTAAATTTCAACAAGTATGTACAGCGCAACATAAATAAAATTTTTTGAAACAAAAAAATAATAAAAAAAATTACGGCGTATTACGTATTATATTCTATACAACCATACAACCCTATTGTGAATTGGCCAAATACACATATTTGTTGATAAAATTAAAAAAGATTGTGTAATATTTTATTTAATCCGACACATATAATAAATATGACAGATATGTACTTATACATACATATTTCTGAAACTTGCATGGTCAATATTTTTTAATTAATATACAATAGAAAATTGTATTGATAAAGCTAATACATTCATATATCATATAGCCCAATTACTGCAAGACTAACATAACCCAAAATTCGCGTTTTTTGAACTGAGTGCTACAAAACACGCCTCATACAAAAGTCTTGCATATACATACATATGTACATACATATGTATATGATAAATTTTATTTACATATACATATATGTATGTGAATATGTACATGTGCATGTATATACACATGTATGTATTTCTATCTAAAATTTTATAAATATGTATGAATATTAGATGTGTCCAAAAACATCAATTTTGCTCAGATGAGTCGAATTTATTTGTAAGGCATTATTTTAGAAAAAATCAAAAGAGTTTGTTTTACCCTTTCAAATCGATTTTCGGCACTGGTTTCCGTTATCCAATATGACTAATATTACATCAGTAAGTTTATACACTAATGAACAAAATAAGCACCATCTAAGCAAAATCGATATTTTTGGAACGCCTCTAATATACAAATGTACATTAGGGCAAAACTTTTTTGGGTGGGAAAATACCACAGCACTACGTTTTTGCCAATACATACTGAATTTTCTCTTTAAGATAATATAACAAAATTGCAAAAGTTCCCGCACCAAATGCGATGAAGTTTTCTTTAAATATTACTTTTTCTGAAGAAAGTTTGAATTTTTTCCGTACAAAAATTTTTTAACGTTTCGTTTTATAAATTGAGTCCCTAAATATTTTGTTGCTCAAATTTTTGGCAAAAATTTATCAAAAATTTCGAATGAACGAATATTTTATCCTAATTGTACGCAATACTAACACATAAAACGACAGCCAAATTGTACAGTGCTGCCAAGTTATGTCAATACCCACATATCCGGGTATGTTTTTCATTTTTAAAGTGATACATCTCGAAAAATCTGAAAAAAAATTTACCTAAACAACAAATTTAGTTTCAAATACAGAGTCATGTGTCTTTATTCATAAATTTTAATTTGAAATATTTGTGGACCCTGTAACATTAACAAATATGGGCCGATTTTGATGAAATAAAAGCAATAAGAAAACTTAAAAAAATTGCTAAAATTTTATGGTTTATGATCAAAAACTATTTAATTTATATATACAGACGTTTTATTAAATTAGTTTTAATAATTATCTGAATTACACACTAGAAATGTATAAAAAGATGAAATAGCCATATAAATTGTATGACATACCCGGGTATGTTGGGTATTGATGTACGTAATTTTTCTCGGGTATAGACAAGACGGTTAAACAGCACAATATATAATGTAGGTTTATTATTTGTTTATGAATATCACACTTTTATTAATGGTTTTAAATTAAAGACTAAAGTGTGCATTAAATATTGTGTTTATTAAAACCAAATAAGATTTTTTATGAATACAAGCGTAAATCATTCAATATGAAGGATATATTGAGATACTACGCGATATACAAATAGGTACATTAGAGGTGTCCAAAAAAATCGATTTTGCTTGGAGGGTTCTTATTTTGTTCATTAGTGTCTAAAACTAACTGGTGTTAAATTTTAGTTTAATCGGATAACGGGAACACGTGCCGGAAATCGATTAAAGAAAAATTGGTAAATAATAGGATTTTTTTGATTTCTTAAAAAATTGCGCCATTGTGCAATATATTCAAAAAATCATGAATTTTTGGCATTGTTTGAAATATTTACACAAAAAACTAGTAAAATATGAATTAATTAGTCGTGTATGTAGCAATATTTGTGAAAAGAAAATGCGTATAACGTTGTTATTTGTCGCTTGATATTAATATTTTATAACTTAATTTTCTCTAGGAGATAAGATTTTGTCGAAGTATAATTTTAATGGTACAATTTTTGAAGAAATTAAAAAGTGGATTTTTTTACCCAATTTTACACTTTTCAATCGATTTCCGGCACGGGATCCTGTTATCCGATTTAGCCATTTAGACACTAATGAACAAAATTAGACCCAACCAAGCAAAATCGATATTTTGTATATATTCGGGGATATAATTTTTATGAAAAACTGACGCAATATTTCGGGAATTCCATTATGAGTTGTGTCAGCCATTAAGTTCATAATGGAATGATCAATTCCGTAGAATACTATTTCTATTATACTATATAATATGTGCAATTTTGAAACAGAGTAGGTAAATAACTGTAAAATGGACTTTAATTGCCGAATTTATGGTATACAGAATACGTATGTATATACATACATGTATGTACATATGTAAATGCATACATTCGTTTAATATATTTATCTTTAAAAATTAATATATGTATATGTATGTATCTATGTACATATATAGTTTATGTGTGTATACATACCTTTGTGTAAGTAGATATAAGTAAGAATATTAATTCATTTCCACCACTAATTTATGGCTTATTCTATAAATGAAGTGTCTTTGATTTAAAAACGATCATTTGTATAATTATATTTAAGTGAATTAAAGTTTATTTATCCATTTTAAACGATATATATTTATAAAAAAAATGACGTAAGTTAAATATTAATAATAATTTCAGTCACATTAAATATTGTGATTTTCATACAGCTTTGTCAACTATTTTATACCAAAACACGCTAAAATTATATTTAAATACAAAGTCACTAAAAAATATTGTATGGGTTTTCATTTAAACGACTAAATTTCCCAAGTTTATTCGACTTGTTTCATGAAACCCCTGTTCAAATTCTGTTTAATAAAAATAGCTGTGTTCCAGAACTGGCTAAAGAGAATTAATGTATTTTTACTTAAAACATGTAAGAAGTACTGGAACCGAAAAATCAAAATTTCTAATTTAATAAATTGAAGTTTATTCAAACAAATTTCTATTGAAATTAAATCGAAAAACTACGCAGAAAAAACTAATTAAAAAAAATTTAATTAAACGATTAATCAAAAATTTTAGAAGTGTTCAATTCATTTCGTTTGTGAATAAAAATGTAGAACCAAATACGTATTTAACAACAAAAAAAAATAAAAAATAACAATTTTGTTGTTGCCATATAAATTTCTACAAGAATCTTCAAATTAAACAAAAAAATCTTTCTTTCGAAACATAATTAATTATATTTTTATTAAATCCTAACTGTAAATAGTTAGATAGATAATAGGTTTGTTTCCATGATCTTCCGATTTGCAAATATTACTTAGGGAACAGTAAAGTAAATTGACACGATTTCCTTCAGTCTGGTTTTGTCATTCGGAAGGAATACATTAGTGATGAGTGATCCAATATATAAACAGACAACTATATGTTTCAACAATTATATAAAATGGGTTAGCAATTGTTGTCTTTATACCAATTAAACGGAAAAAATTTAAATCATACGACTTTTATTCTCTTTAAGGGCCTTTTAGACCAACGGTTCCCAAAAGGGGGTCCGCGGACCCCTAGTGGTCCGTAGCAAAATCCTAGGGGGTCCGCGAAGACGAACGAAAAAAATCGTGAATAAAAAATATTCTCTATATGTTAGAAAATATTAAAAATATCTCCAAATTTTTCATAAATACTAAAATACACAATTTTTATTCAATAATCCCAGATTTGTTGGTGACTCTTTGAATTTTATTGTTTCGGTCGTTTATCAGGATGAAGCTAGGCCCTACAAATTTATTGTTTCACTTTTATAAAGTAAAGTATTATGTGATTTGTAATTTTTATAAATGTATATGTATCGAAATAAGTGTTTTTATAGCAGACGGATAATGATTTGCCTTAGAATTAAATACTGATACTGGTATCCCGGAATATGAAGTTAGGTCACATTTCATATTTTTTTTAAATTGTAAGCAAAAGTGTTAATCTAGTTAATTTTAAATATAAATATTCCATTCCGACGTGATACACAGATTTTAACTTAATTTTGTTGTTCAATATTATTAAATCAACATCAGAAAATTCATAGCGTTATGCGTAAATAGTCAAAACCACGCAGTAAAATAATTCGTAGGTATTTTAAAATTCAAATTTAAGATCCAAATTCACAGTACATTCGCAAAGAGTTCAGGTCATATTTTATGTGGGTAACGCATTCCGCAACAACATCGAAGAAGTCTAACTTTCACATATTTTCCCGAAAACTTAGCTTACATACTCAGCTCACTCCTATGCAATCGCAAAAAAAATTTAGAAACATGACTCTTTAAGCACATGTCGACAATACTTGATAAAGAAACCTTTTCGCTACCTTGACGAGAAATGAACATGAAAGCTCTCACGATCATAAAATTAAACATCATGTTAGAAGTCATTCTATATTTAAAACCATGCAATTGAAAACATCTCCGAAATACTAAATATTCTCAATGTACGGGAATATTTTATAGGGTTTATGAACCAGGACTAAGACAATTTTCGGACGAACAATTACACAGTGATACAGCAAAAAAATGCAGGGGTTCTCATATACCAATTCCATTTCGTTATAGTCCATAGAGTAGGAATATATTTTTAATTTCTCCCGATCACTTCGTTTAGTTCCTCTTTAAGAGCAAAAGATGTGAAAAAGAGCTATTTTTGAAGTTTTAACTTTAAAACAATATATGTTTGGTAGTTTGCAACCGATTTTCAAATTGGATATTTTGTTTTAAAGATACAAGTGTTGTCTTTCAACCCAAAAAAATAAATCGAAAATTTATGATTAATGTCTTGGTTACGGCCATTTAAGTAAAAAAACTCACACTTTTTCAACAATTTTTAATTTTCATACTGCTCTACGTTGGCCATGAAGCAGTAACTTTAGCTTTTATTACATTTGAAAAAAGGCACATTAAGTTGGGTTTCCAATGATGGTCAATTTATGATAATCGATGAAAAAGGTTATGAGTTGTGCTCAGTTTTATAAAAATATAGCATATTTCTTCCATACAAAAATGTTCATGTTTCTGGTTTTCTTTGTAACAAGTTTAAAAAATGTTTATAAACATTTTTATGCAAAAATTAATTTGTATGGAGAAAACCAAAAATTCGAGGAACATGCTATTAGAAAAATTGTCATAAATCATCCAGTTTTTCATAGATTTTTATGAAATAACAAGTTTTAGAAACCTTTCTTTATGTGATTCTTCAGGAAAGTAATAAAAGATGAACTCACTGCCTCATGGCCAAAGTAGAGCATGATGAAAATGAAAATTTTTTAAAAAAGTGTGAGTTTTTTACTTAAACGACCGTAACTCAGACATTTGACCATAAATTTTGGATTTCTTTTTTTGGATTAAAAGGCAACACTTGTATCATTAAAAAAAAATATCGGATTTGAAAATCGGATGAAAACTACTAAACTTATGATTTTTCAAATTTAAAATTTCAAAAATGGCTCTTTTTCGCATCTTTTGCTCTTAAAAAGTAAGTTAACGAAGTGATAGGGAAAAACTAAAAATATATTCGTACTCTATGGACCATAACGAAATAGAATTGGTATATGAGAACGACTGCATTTTATTTTTCTTAACTTTTGTATCACAGTATTATTTATAACAATAAGATATCAAAATATGTATGGGGGTCCGTGAAATTAAATAAATTCCTCAAGGGGTCCGCGAAGTAAAAAACGGTGGGAACCGCTGTTTTAGACGATCACACATTACGTACGTAAAGTCTAAAAAGAAAAATTAAATTCCATCCGTTTGACAAAAAAGAGAATAAAAGTATGTAGTATGATTTATATTTTTGTGTTTACACGATTGGTATAAGACAATAACAAAGTAAGATGGAAACAGCTGTTTCACTTTTTTTTATATGTGTTTATATAAAAATACATCCCTGATCTAAAGTGACTTGTTTGTATTTTGATTCATTTCAAAAAATGTAGAATTTTCTATCCGTATTTTCTCTCAATGTGTGATGGTTTCATTACATATGTATTGCATTTAGACGATCCCATCACTTCTCTTCCACACAAAATTTCGACAGATCATATTACTTTTGTGCTCGTGTGAAGGGGACTTTACTAAAATGCGGATGAAATTTCACTTCACTATTAACTGAGTTTTCATTTGTAAGTAAATGTTTGATTTATAAAAGCGAAAAATATGTAATCGCATTTTTGGATGTGATTAAGATGTTGTCTGTAAAGTATGACATCAATTATTTTTTGCTGGGTAGTTTAATAAGGATGGTGTTAAGAAGTTCCTCTCATACTGATTTTTATACACTCAGGAAGCTGCGTGCCCAATTTTTTGTTTTTAGGTTCAATATTATAAAAGACTTAAAACTTTTGCCTTTTTAAAGAAACACGTCTTTTTATTACAAAGGTTTAAACGAAAGTCTTTTTATTAATATGAAAAACTATTTTGAATGAATATTAAATTATGACAATCAATTCAAAGTAAAAAATTTTCAAGTATCAGTAAAATAATTAACAAGGGTTTCTCATAGTCGGCTATCCTGCATTTAAAGCGTCCTCGCTTTCGTCATCACGAGAATCATATTCGGTATCATCATCAAATCTAGGCGGCAATTCCCAACAAGGTTTCAATTTGTCCGAAGCATAAACTGATGAATAATGACGTGTTGTTCTTTTTGAATTCGGAAGGTCTTCGATAATATATATATATCTATCTTTATCAAGAACCTTGGACACTATAAATGGGCTTTTATAACGAGGCTCTAATTTATGAGACATACCACTACTTTGTGGTTCATTTTCAGCAAGTACGAGTTCATCAACTTTGTATTTGTGAGGAATGGAATGTGCTTTGTCGTATTGATCTTTTGCTTGTTTTCGATTCTCATTGATGTTTTCGGAAGCCTTCTGTCTTATATTCTTCATTTCGTCTTCAGTAACATGATAATTATTGTGAACTACTAGTAAGATCTTGTTTTGCAAAATATCTCTTGGTGAATTACAAAATAATAGCTAATGAGGACTTTTGCCAGAAGTTTTATTCTTCATTGTATTTAAAGACCATTGAACATCCGTTAAATGTTCAACCCAGCGTTTATCATTCTTTGTAGTGAGTAAAAGCATCGAGAGTAATGTTCGATTTGTTCTCTCAGTATGACCGTTGGCTCTTGGAGTTCTGACAGCATTAAGTACATGTTTGATATCATTATCCGAACAATATCTCTTGAATTCGTTTGAGGTAAAAGCGGTTCCTCTATCCGTTATTATACGATTTGGAACGCCAAAACTCATTTAAAATGCTTATAACGTACCTGGTCGCAGTACTCTTGACAGCTCTAATTGTAAATTTAGTAAAGGAGTCAATCATAACTAATATATGTTCATTACGTTTACTGCTTTTTGGAAAAGGTCCCAGATGATCCAAATGAATTGTGTGGAATGGTACAGGATCTATATCATTAAAATGGTATTCACCTAACTACCATACGACCACCTTTGTTTTTATTGTAAGCACATTCAACACATGCTTTAATATACGACTTAACAAAATTTCTCAATCTTGAGAACCACACATAACTTAAAAGTTTATCAATCGTCTTTTCAACACCAAGATGTCCATTTTTAGTTTTATCTTTATTGTGAAGT